ACCGCCTCCTTCCTCCGTCCCTCCGGAGAGAGCACAGAGTCGGGGATTGAGTGGAACTGTTTGTCATTCTGGCTGTGCACACTCCCATGAGAAACAGCCCGCTCTTCTCAAGGCTTGTTGCAGCCTATTCAGGCATTATTACTTGCTTGACGGCCCTTGCGGATATATACATTTTTAAACTAAACTTTTCCCCTTCGTTCTTTTTTGGTTGGAAGCGTCGCGTGCTGGAAGTCCAACCGGCAACAACGAGCGCAAAGCACCGGGAGACACAGAAACAAGGTAAGATATTGTCCACTCTTCAGGGAGTCCGAGTTTGATCCACTCTTGTACCGTCTCTTAAAGCGCGGAACGCCTCTTTTAATTGGAAAAATCTGAAAGTTTCAAGGTGCTTTCATATATTTAATCAGAACATTTGAATTGACACTTGTGTCCATTTTGAATATACGCAATTCCGTTCCTGAGCGTCAGCGGGGCCATCTCTGATCGGCTGGAAGCAAAGTTGATTGATGACTATATACCTTTTTGTTTTCATTTGAAGTGCTCTCCTTGTCATACAGTTGAAATACTATTCATACTGTTGTTTTATTTTCTTGCAAGGAGTTTAACAAGGTGTCATCTAGAATGGTAAGGGGATGGTTACACATGAAGAAATTTAACAACGTTTTCAGTTCAGTATTCGGCAAACTTTACATTATAACATGTGCAGATTAATTCATTGTATCCGTATAAGGAAATCTGAATGCTAATTTTAATTACATTTATAACAGTATATTATTATGGGTGGTTTACCGTAAGAAAACAGCTCAGTAGCCTAAAGCTACCCCAATCCGCTTGTATCCTGAGGGGGGGGGGGGGGGGGGGGGGGGTAAAATGTCCAAAACCTCTGAAAACCATAGACATGTCAGAGAAAACTGTCAGTGTCTTCAAGCCATGTTCTGCACTTGTGTACCTTAGGAAGACTGCCTGCTGTTGATAGTATTATTATTAGAATCAATGTTGTTATTAACTGTCTCTTGACTGATTCCTGGTAATTGCCGCCTATTAGCTTTAATTAAAGGGATGCAAGATGCCATGCCTTATGTTGTCGCCCAAGGTCTTTTCCTCCTGCTCTTACCCCATAATCAACAACTTGACATGAAAGACGAGAGGGAGAAGTGCTTTGTCATCACCTGGATCGTTCCAAACCCCTTGCATCATTTGAGACTTTGCTTTTTTTTTGTTGGTCCAATTAAATGTTCAATTTATTAAATAATTCTTGTGCCAAAAGATTCATGGGCTACGTTGGAGGGAAGGTATTATCCGCAGTGTCACAAGTGACCCCAAACAGTTGCCAGTTACTGGAGAAAACGAGGAGGAAAAGATAATTGACCACATTGGTTGAGTCTTTGTAAGTTTGGCACAATGGAAGGAGATAGGATTTAATTCACTGTTGTTTTTTAAAAATGGTATTACAAATGTTCAAATAGCCTGCAGAAATCTTCTCTCCTCCAATTTTTGTCCTATATTATCCCCTAACTTGTTTGTAGTGTAATTTTTATATTCTCTGAAAACACCTGAGCACAACTAATTCACAGCCAGTTAGTAATTACAGCTAAAGTTTCATCAAAAAGACGGAGTGACATTATTTGACACCCATCTTCAGTTTTTCATGATGTTTCTCAGTTCAGTAGTCAAGTTTTATTTTAAAGACTGACACAAAACCTCTCTTGTATACCCTATGTCTCACCTGCATGTCATTGCCTTGCATTGAAGCCCACAGATTTGATCATAATATTTGTGTAGCACATACTGTGACATTAGAAGATAGTCCCTTAATGCTAGAGATATACATTTTGACTAGCAGTTGAACTTTTTTAAGGTGTTATAGGCTTTTGACAGGGAGCCAGAGTTATGACTTCTTCTAGGTTCCCTCTCGGCACTCTGAGCTCTCACGGCTCTACAATGGTTCCTCCTTTTCTTTTCTTTTTTTTCACCCCATCATCTCAGCCACCTATGACCCAAACAGGCTCTCATGCTCATATTTCGCCACTCACTCATGTTGAGGTGTCACAGAGAACACTGGTTTCAAACACGGCATGCCTTAAGCTCGGTGCATGATGGGAAGAGCAGTCAAGTATGATGTATTGCTTTGCACTCAATTGCAAGCATGCCATTTAGCTAAGAAGTACGTCTTTTTACTTAAATTACCGATTTCAAACAGACTTCAATCACTGTGACTGTGAGTTGCATGACAACATAAAAGTATTATTTAATGTCATGGAGGCAGATAATTTAAACACTGTTGCTATTAGCTAATGTCTGCAGCATCTAAAAACCGTTTCCTCTGTCATCAGCCCCCAGTTGAAGGTTTTATCACTTGATGGGACAAAAGGTAGCAGATTGATCATTGTAGAAATTGGAACCTTGTGCTTTAAGTGTTGTCATAGGCACCATTCTATATTATATCATTATCTCAAGCAGTCAGAGAGTTTGATATCCTCTATCGTCTATTAACTGAAGAATAAAGTCAGTTATAACTATAAATGTTATTGGTAGTTATCTGGCGAATAACAAACTGAGACAACTACATAGTCCCTTTTCACAAATAAAAACCATCCATCCATCCATTATCAATACCGCTTATTCCCTGATGGGGTCGCGGGGGGAACTGGAGCCTATCCCAGTGGTCAACGGGCGAGAGGCAGGGTACTCCCTGGACAGTCATATAAAAACCTTCCAACTAAATACTTTATTATTGTGTATGTTACCTTTTTTCAGTTTCTCTTGTTATTAAATTCCACTGGATTTCTAATTCCCACAGATTCAACTTTGTATAGTCAATCTTTAAATCTTCTGTTTTTAATGTCCACATATAGTTTGACTTAAATCGTCAATCAGTTCCAGCTCTCCATGTGTCCGTGGATATTTGCAGGCCTCAGAAATGGCTTTATAAGCGCTATTTCTTCTTTAAGCATTCTTCCGTCAGTGATTTTTATGCCCATTCTGATCGAGAAGCATTCATCTCTGCCCTTAAGATAAGCAGTGGTCTTCCTTCTGTCTATTAAGGTGTGCGCCATCTGCTTCAGTTAACTACTGTTTCCTACTTTTTCCTGGTTTGTTTTGTAAATAGAAGTCTTTTCAGTAAATTCCTAAGCATACTGACCACACTGAGAACTCTTTAAGTCTTTCCCTTTGTCTCAGAGACCATCCTGCATGATGAAGTCCTTTAATTCAGACGTTTCGATGTGCACTGTGCTCTACATATTTAACCATTTTTAACTAATCAGAATTTCAAACCAAATTTCAAGTTTAAACCAGAATTTCACTCAAAATGCCTGGAAAAGATCAGCAATCAGATCTTAGTTTTAAAAATATCTGATCTAGGATAAAGAGCTTCTACATACTGGTGTATTGGCTATTACATAAACATAAAGAATTTTTGTTCAAACTTTAAAGGGCACATATTATGCAAAACCAAGTTTTTAATAATTTGATTATGTACATTTGGGACTGTGGAGGGCCTATCAAGCCACAATGCATCTGACGTCATTTGCTCTGGCTAATTATAATATTCCAGCCTTTCACCTGCATGTTGCCACCCACCTCAGCTTACTCCGCCCATCTGTTCTCCGCCATTGTCCCTACCAGCAAGACAAATTGGAGCGTGCCGACGTCGGCACACCTCCCGGAAGAAGTGGGTGGATTGCCTGTGTCTCATTTGCATTTAAAGAGACAGGCGCTCAAAACCAATCGCTCTGAACAGGGCTGTTTTGGGAGGGTGATTGAACTGCTATTGTGCTTCATCCTTATGGTATTTTGACCAAAGCTTGTCACAGACATTACATTAGGACACCAGGGAACTAGGTTAACTTGTTGAAATAGGGTATAATATGACTCCTTTAAAATAATAATAAGTTCAACTTTGGTGAAGGCAGATGGCTATTTTTCACTCTTTAGGATGCATCTGTCAAAACCTTTGTCAGTTACAATACAGTGTATGTGGATGTACATATGAGTTTGTACGCAAAATAACTGGTTGTGTGATACCCAACCCATGATGTGAACTTCAAAGTTACTGGACCAGCCCACATAAAAAAACAGATACAAACAAAGCAATGAACAAAACAAGCAAAGAAAAAAAGAAAAATATGTTTTATGCGCAGGTATTTCTCACAGCACAACAGAAATAAAGGAAAACAATAGTTGTTTCCTCAGAAAACAACAGACCTTTAAAAGTGGTCTCTTGTATCTTCTTTGTCTTAATAGTTCAGATATGCCATGCAGTGAATGTTTTTTAGTCTTGGCTCTTACTGAGATTTTCTTGCAACGTGGACAGGGTGCTTCATTGCCTATGAAACTGAAACCCAGTAATCCAAGCGTTTACATAAGTAGTGCTCTTCCTCATTTTACCCTAGCATCCTACCAGAGTTGAATTTTTAGAGTTTTACATGAGTTTGGATCCAAACGGAGCCTGAACCATTTTTTAACCTTTATTTTTGCATCTACTGTATTGTATTTGTTTGTTTTTTGGCACCTTGGTGCTTACACTCATCATAGAGGTAAACAGTCTTTTCCTTTTTCCTTCCACACATTCATTTAAAATTGTGACTCTTCAGGAAATATGACATCTTTGTGAGAGCTACATTGAAAGATTGATTTGTCATATCTGTAAAGCCACAGTCAGAAGTCTGTTTCTGTCTCTGTCCAGAGAAATGGGAAAAAAAGACTCCACCAGTGTCTGTGGAACCCATTTATTATCACTATAATTCTCTCCTTGAACTTTACAAATACCATAGTAAAAAAATTGTGGTTAATATTTATGAACCCTTCCTGCAAAGGAATGATGGTTTTATTTATTGATTTTTTTTTTCTCCAGAACTTGAACTAACTGCTCCCCGCCAAAATATAATCAACTGTGCAAGTCCACATATACAACATAATGAAAATTTGTTTTTGTTTTTTTCTCCCTTTATTTAATAGTGGAGTGACCTTGCCTGGACCAGGCCCACTGAGAGTGGAACATGGCCCTCAGTGACCCAAGTGGCGACCTTCTAGCCCTCAGCAGCGGAGGCCACCAGCCTCTGACTATGAATGGAAATGCCTCTTCAAGTCCTGGTGCACCAGTCAGCAGCAGTGGTCAGCAGTGGTCAGTGACATCATGCTCCGGTAGCAACCTCTTCACAGCTGAGGGAGATGATGGTGCTTCTGTGTTGAGTGAGGCATCAGCACAGCAGCAGAGAGCAAACGGCAGCATGGTCAAACTGAATGGTCCGCTGAAGAATCTCTCCCCATCGGCAGCTTCCTCTTCAGACTCCCACAGACTCACCAGGCATCACTTTCCCTCCACCCCATCCCCGTCTTCGCCTCTCCAGCCTCCACCCCTATGCTGCCAGCACTGCCACTTCCACTCCAGTCTTAGCTGCCCCTGTGGGCAGCAGGAGTGTCCCCTCTTCCTGAGTCCTGGCCCCGTCTCCCACCTGCAGACAGGCACTGCCTCTTCCTGCCCATTCTGCTTATCTGCCTGCACATACTCTCATCAGCATCCCCTACACCCGTCCTCACCTCTACCTGTACATCACCACCCTCAGCAACACTGGCAAGAAAACCTAAAGAGTCAGACACACGAACCAGGGCTCAGGTAGGTACGCAGGAGGGACTGACTAATTTGTTTATACGACTTAATACGACTTTATACAACTATACAAGGGGTTGGGCCATTATTCGTTCCACATTCCTTTATTCGTCCAACAATGGAAACATTTAGAATGTCACCGCAGCATGTGCTGTAAATATAAGCGTGCAAAAATGAACAAATATGTTTTGCTTTTGAAGGTGCAGCATTTGGATAATTGGTTAAAAAAAAGATGTTATACAGTATGAAAGGACTAACACTTCTCTTTGGAGAATCTTGTTGGATGGTATTTGTTTTTATTTGTGATCTGATGACCTCAAATATATTCTAAAAGTTGAGTATTTTCAGATTTAAAGCAAGAACTCAGTGAAGTAAAACCTTTTATTTGTCAGTGCCTTATGTGTAAAAAGTTTTATTTAAAGTTATACCTCTTCTTAGCTCATCGTCCACTTTTTGATGATATATACTTTCAGCTCCTAACAGGAATAATCTGCAACTCATGTTAAATTTCTGACCTTAAGCCCAAGCTACTGAAAGCCCCCACAGCATATGAGTAACATATGGTAGCTGGTATGACCTGTAGTGAGTACCATCATAGATCTAATTTTATGCCCTATATCAAGATACTTTGGATGTTTTCTGTAGGATATTTAATGCAGTTTTCTATGGTCTGAGTGGTGACCACATCTCCTACAGCTGCAGCAAAATTCCAAAAGCATATGTTGGCAAATCTCTCCCCTGCTGAGCCATATTTAGTGGGCTTGTTCTTCCCTGTTTACTCCCAAAACACAGGCCTTCCACCACATTTGAAACTGGAACCTTTTAATTCCTTTCATAATTGTTCGCACAATCCTGTGTTTACCATTCGTGCAGACGGAAGGAGACAGGGAAAATTATTTACTCCTGTCAACTTCTTTTAATGGTAGCAGATCATTGTGGGGAATCAGATTTGCATTGGTTTGTTTTGTTTAACTTCCCAATGTGGAATATTCCTAACGTACTGCACTTCACGCACCAAATCCAAAGTTTCATTAGATAGGGGTTTGGTGTGGGTGGCGTTGAAAGATGAGGTTTGTGCAGCCAAATTGGTTACGTATACCAAAGTCTAGTGAGTACACATAAAGCTGTGGGTGGGCAGAGAGAAGCATGAGTAGATGTTGGCATTTCGAGCAACCAGCAGCTTTTGTGTTTTTTTTTTCTCCCTTACTTTTTCTCCTCTCACTCCATTAACACTCCTTTAAATTTTTTTGCGGCATGTTCATTCTTCCCGAGTCACACCGGCTATTTTTTCTTTGTTTGTTTGTTTGTAACGCTTCAGAATGGCAGTTTACTCTTTGCAAATGAAAAACCTACCGCAATAGGGCACTTTTACCCTCATTGCAGATAAAATATAAACAGAAACTGCATTTTGCTTTTACTCAGGTCACCAATTCCCAATTCCTTTACTGAATCTTAATGGTATTTAGTAGTAGTTGAATATGTCTCACACCAACAAGTAAATAGCATCTCTTATATACTCATTATACTTTTGGTGATTTGGGGGTGTAGAGTCAGAAAAGATGGTGTCGCATATCAGTTTGATCTTCCGCTGGGGCTATGATCTGCCCGATTAGTCAGGGATTATGACCAGGATTGTAGCACTCTCTGGCCTCATTCACACACATAGACACACTGTCTGTCCCCCTCAAACACACACATAGAGCTATGAATTGTAACATTAGCTCTTTATTGAGACCTTTTATGCACCTTTCGCAAATAGCCATTTTCTGTCCTTGTTGTACACTCCACAAAAAAAAGGGAAAAAAACCCTGTTAATCCGGTTTAGAAGATTAGCCTATGTTCGGTTTCCTAATGTTTCTATTTTGGGAACAATCAAAGGAGTCTTTCGTTTCTTTTTTTTTCTTTTTTTTGCATATACTAAGAAATCATCTTATTCTCTATAGAAGATAAAGCACAACTTGGCACATCTCAGTCTTTTTTGGGGGGGAAGGGGGGGTCTTTGAAGTAATCTTTATCTCCATTCAGAGATAATTTTTCACTACTTTTTGGCAGGTTTTTTACTGGTACAAAGAAGCAGCTTGTCCTTAGGAAGTCTGCACAGCTGTTTGGCTTCTATTGGCTCTATGTGTCCCAGTGGGTTTAAGGACTTCAGGTGAAACACTTTAAGCCTCAATGGAAGATAAACTGTAAGAGCACCGCTCCCTGTTGGTTGTAGCTTTGGCCTTAAGCCTCTCTCTTGGGTGAAGCAAGGAGTTGTTACATGTTTGTTTAGTGGAAGACAAGTAAAGCCCAGAGGATGAATCCCAAGTGTTAATTTGGGGTTAAGAACGCCCACTTTGATGGTTGTACCTCTATAGAAGCATAGGTGTCGTACTTCTATATGTACCTCTATACTTATATGAAGATACAACCATCAAAGTGGGTGTTGTGTAATGTTCAAAAAGAAATGAGGTAATATGCAAAAAACATTATCATGCATAGCTTCAGGGGCAGGAAAAGGCTCAACCAACTTACTTCTACCTCCACCAATGACCCCACAAGAGCTCACTGACACTCAGGCATCCAGGGTCACGCTAAGTATTTAACCTTTCCCATTCACACTTGGCTGTCCCAGAGGCAAATGTTTCAATATTCTTTGGCACGAGTTTAGTTTTCATTCAGTCCTCATTTTGCTATCCTGAGCAAGTTTGAATTTGGCTATATATACAGTACAGCGTTACATTTGCATATTTGTGCCACATTTCTGACATTTCTGGTTATTTGATACAGCTAAACTAACCTAACATTTTTGAGAACAACAAAAATGTATGACAATGCGTTAACCTGAACAGCGACCGCCAAAGCTCTAACAGCCACTTGGAAGTTGTGTTTTTGTTCCCAATTTTAAATGATAAACTAAAAGGCTGCATGCAGAGTTTTTTTTCCGGGAGGGGGGGGGGGTCAGCCAATCAGGTCCAATGATTGGTTGTTACAGATTTAACTCTGTTCCAAGTTGAGCAAGTGTATTAAAAAATAGTAGTTTGCACACTGAGCATGTTGTGTATGTAACAGATGGGGGGCTTTCCTGTAGTACCTATTGAGCCCTTTATGTCTCTACAAATAAAAACTTGCTTTAGGTTATTGTCCATTACAATTTTTAGCTGAACGGAAAGATGGTTTGACAGGCTTGTGACGTAGTTTGCACGTGTTACAAGCACGATACAACATGGATACAGTGCTGATCTGTGTATTGCTTAATTACTACGTTGACTTTCACAAAAATAATTAAATTAGACGTTTATTGTTACTGTCAGTCTTGTCTGAGTAGATTAACCCCAAACATGTCCTAGTCTTTAAAAGTTCTGCATTCTGGATTCAGTTTATTACCAAATTATATGCTATAAAAGTCAACAGAAATGAGAGGACTCCATCCGAAAAAAAGATTGTCTGTATTTATGTGTATGTTCTGTGGCTCCTGAGGCATGTCAGAGGGTTCTGTGAAGGAGGGGGGGGGGAGATCTACCGACATCCGGCAGCTCTGTCTCTCTTATCTGCTCCGAACTGCTGGAGTGCTCGGAGTTTACAAGGTTAGCCCAGGATACAGGCGAGCCACACTGACATTTTCACCACAAAAGCAAGCTATTCGGTTTGTTATTTGTAGGAGTTTTTCTTGCTCTCTTTCTTCATTCTTGCTTTAGTTGAATTTTCTGGGTAAATTTTTCCTTTAGTCTATCTCATTCTTTATGAACAAATGCTTTATCTTTATGTGCTGAGTGACAGCAACAGCAGTCAGACAGTTGTGCTCACTGACCTTTTTTTTTCTGCTAAAAAGTACATTTGAATTGACGCTCAAGCAGCATGTAACATGATATTTACCTCAAGATTGATTCAGAGACATCAACTTTCACTCATAAGTGGCATTTTAAGAGTCATTAATTGCCAATGAAGGATCTTTAGGGTTTATTGTGTCCTGGCATTATCCTACATTTTCTTCCACACTATAATGGATCTTTTTTTTTTTTAAGGATTTTGTTGGCTCTAGTGGCCTTTAATGACAGTAGCTTGACAGGAAAGGGGGTAGAGATAGAGAGGGGGAGACCTGCGGGAAAGGGCCATGGGCTGGATTCGAACCCAGGCCGCCTGCTTGCGAGCAAAGGCTCTGTATATGGGCCGCCCGCTCTAGCCATTAGGCTACGGCTGCGGCCCATAACGGATCATTTTATGAGAATTTTGTTGAAAATAAATCAAAATTATATTAAAGCTTAAATTTCCAACTTAGAAGAAAAGATGAAGTTTGACAGTATGGGTAGCAGCAAATAAGAACTCATTGACAGGTTGCTCCCATTTTTTATGCAATTTTCCTTGTTCCCTCTTACCCTTTTTTATGTATTATTTGAACATCTTTTCTCATTTTCTCCCAGACTTTTATACATTTCTCTGTGCAACTCTAGAATCTCCTTTTCTGAGGGAAAGCCCATAAAGATAGTCAGCACAGATCAAAGGCCCACTCTGTCCCATAAAGCAGGATAAAAGCCTGAAGTGAGCATGACGTTGTCATAACTTCTCATGAGACGACTGAGCAGCTAGCCAGGCCTCAGCTGGATAAATACAGCTTGCTGCTCTAGGCTGGTTAAGCTTAGCATTGTGCTTTGAAACGGTTAACTGGTTAACTGGTGGGTTCTACTGAATTCTGATTAGTAAGAGAGCTGGTTTTATTGTTGAAGCTTATATGTTTTTAAAGATTAAATGAAAATACGTTGGAGGAGAAAAGAAAAATCAATTCTCTAAGGCTGTCAAACCATCTTTACATAGTATCTCACCAAAAGGCATAAATTATCCTTTTCTTTAACTGGACTTTATTTTACTTTCTGAGAAAATAATTCACATATACATGGCAAATGTGCTCATCGCTAATTGAGGAAAAGATGTAAGGTTTGATGTCTTTGATTAAATTAAATTAAATTAACTAGCTTTCTGTAAAAGAACACCCAAATTTAAGCCAGGGAGATGAAACTAGAAACCTTTTT